CATCCTAATATTATCAAATTCGATTGCTATCCTTCCTCCAGTACTTGTTTTCACTTAATCAATTTTTCTGATCTATCTAATAAAACTCGAGCTCTTTATTGACTGTGTATTTTATAACTGTAGGAAAATGCAACTAGATCCATAATGAACAATATAACAAAAGTTCTTGGAACTGCTATCGAAAACGTCCATTATACTATCGAGAACATCAATGATGCCTTGGTATGAAAAATTAGGGAATTAGTGAAAGATAACTGAAATGGCAGTTGTTTACCTTATTATGTATTATTTTGTAGACGAACCCAAGAAAACGGACTTCATTAACACATGACATAACGACCATATTTACTCCAGAAAGCATCAAAAAAGTTAGTATATAAACTATAATTATGTTAAATTCGTAAAAATTTTCTCATTTTTCCTACCTTACACAGGTCAAAACAACACAGACTAATGGGCGACTTGAAGCATCAAATGAATCGTCATCAAAGCCCCTCAAAATACTTTCAACAGGGTCATTTGTTGATTTGAGACAAAGAAGTGGATATTATTTGGATAAGACTCACTTCATTTCTAAAATAGAAAATCTTAATGCCCACGCCATACTTTCTCTGCGTCCCCGTCGCTTCGGTAAAACATTATTTCTTTCCACTCTGTCTGCTTATTACGATATAAAGAACCAAGGAGATCAGTTCAAACAATTATTTGGTGATCTGTTCATTGGTAAAAATCCCACGCCATTAGCATCTTCATTCCTAGTTCTGGAGCTCAATTTTTCTGGAATTCGCACTGGCGCAACATATGACATCTTTGAGGAGAGTTTTCACAAACGTTTGAATCTATTTATGTCAAGATTTATCGATATCAACAGGAGTTGGGTCATCATTTTCAAATTGTTGATGAAAATTCAGATGCTTTGACAAACTTATTAAGGTTGCTGAACGCGGTAGAATTATGTGGTTACAAGGTATTTTTCCCTTTGTTCGGTCATATATTTGTTCAAAAAGTATTAAATGATTATCCTTGTACATCTTTAGCTATATATTTGCATTGATGAATACGACGCTAGCATTAACGAAATTCTTAGAGACGAAACTGCCATCCAAGAACTCACCAATAATCACAAAAAGGAAAGCAAAATCAAATTAATTGAGAGTTCATTCAAGCAATTTTACAGTTGTTTGAAGACTGCTTGTGATAGAGGCATCGCTTATGTTTTCCAAACCGGCGTAACCCCTGTTGCTATGTCCGAATTTACCTCAGGGTTCAATATTTCAACAGATTTAGCATTAAGCGAAGAATTTTGGGACTTACATGGATTCAAGCAGTCAGAAGTTGAACTTCTTTTGAACAATGCGCTTGGAAATAATCTGCAATCTGATATTAAAAAGGGGATAATAAAATGGTTAAAAGAGGAAAATGATGGATATTTTTTTAACCCTAATCAAGCTGAGGGTATATTTAACACTGCTCGTATTCTGTACTGTATTCGAATGTTGATTGGGCAAATAAAATTTATAAGCTACAGTGAGGATTCTTCAAACATTATCAAAAAATTTCTTCGTTTCCCCCCTGATCCGAACACATTGCCTTCTCAAACAATATTGGAATTAATTGTCAACAATCCCCTTGGCAAATCTATCCTTACTGAAGCACTCAATCGAAGTCCCCTCGAATCAAGAAATGGTATAGAACAACGATTTCGTCTCACTAGCATTCGCGAGTTGGCAACCGATCGCAACCCGTTATTATCGTTCATGTTCTATACTGGTGCCCTCACATATCAACCGAATTCATTACGACACATATTTCGAATCCCAAATCGTGTTTCCGAGAGAGAGTTTATTGCAGAGGCGCTAAAAATCTACGACTGGAAAGAAGAGGATTTAATACCTGTTCGAAGTTGCTTACAGATTTTGGAGGCAGAATGTGACATCGAACCGCTCTGCCGATTTGTAGAGGAAACTCTACTTAAGCCATTGAAGGACAATAGTGTCAAACATTCAAATGAAGAGGCCTTGAAGCAATCTTTTATAGACACTTTAATTCTAACTCTGCACGCAGACATTGAACCAGAGTTTCGGGTAAATTCTCAGAACTCTAAGTTAGGTAATAAGGCAATCGATTTAGTGAAAACAAGTACTGGAGGAAGGATAGCAATCGAATTTGATAATATTAGGATGGAATACATTAACCTAAACGGAGCTCAAAGTACTTGGCAGGAAGCAGCACAAGTATCACGATCATTGATGACGAAATCAGAGGATGAAATTTTAAGCCTTGAAATTAGTGATCCATACCGACCAAATCAAAAGACAGTTCGTGAAGCTTTAGAATGGAAGATTAAAAAGAAAAGCAATGAGTATTTAGAGCCGCTAAAAAAACGACATGACGCAGAGTTGAGATGTATGTTTATTGTTTTGAGGGTAGGTTTGCATCGCCTAATTAGCAGGAGAGTTTATTGCGTTAATGAATAGCCTGTAGGATTAATCATTGAAATAAAAATTTTTCTCGATAAGAGCTTTGGTTTTTATGTATCCGGTATGATGTGAAATGTGCATGAGAAAAATAAAAGTGTATATGCTATTATATTTAGATATGATGTATCCTCGATCACGGTCAAATAAAATTATATAAATTTCGTAATAAAGAAAGCCCTGGTGGCTAATTTCACAAACATTTCATATTTAATTCTAACTTACCATCGAGATTACTGAACTTAGAAAAAAGTATGCTAAGGTTGAGACTGAGAATATAAAGCAAATTATAGAAGAGAATACTGAATTTAAGACTAGATTCAAAGAACAAGATAGGAAACATAAAATAGATATTGCAAATCTTATAAATGAGAATACCAAACTCAAAATCTAGAATTTCAAAATTGAAACAAAAGTTATTACAAAATGATGAAGAAAAAGATAATCTTATTTTTTATAAAACAAATTCTGATAATACTTCTGAACAAATAGAAAATATTTATAGTTTTGATAATATTTAATATTCTGAATTACTTATTTATATGGTATTTAAATCTTGATTGAAAAATGAGAAAGTAATTTAATAATATTCTATATAAATTGAAATTCATTTCAACTATCAAAGAAAATTTTCTTTTAAAAATTTTTGCTTTTTATTAGAGAATAATATATCATCATGATGCTTTTTTTTCAATATTTATTATTTTTTTTTCTTTTTAGTAAATTTTATAAGTAATTCTTTCTTTTCTTAAATAGACTTTTAGTATCTAAGTATTATTTATTTTGAAAATATAAGATATAATTTTTTCATCTTGTTCATATTTTTAAAAATATTATAATTTTTAAATTTCATAATAAACTTAATATAAATTAGTTTTATATTAATTATTTTTTATATAAAAATAATTTTATATATTATTTAATATTAAGAGAAAGATTTTAATAATCATATTATTAAATTTTAATTTCTGAAATTCTTGATAATATTAATATTTATTTTTATCTGATTCAAAATTTAAAGTTTAAAAAATTATAAAATTAAAGAAATTTATATTATTATAATAATATTATTATACTTCTAAAATTTTCTATAAATATCTATAAATAAAATTTTCTTAAGCTAATATTTAATAAGATATAATTATTTAATTATTTAATTATATTATAATAAAAAATAATCAATAATAAATAATTTATTAATATTCTATTAAAAATTTATATCATAATAGGATTTTTTTTATTAGTATTTTGCTTTATAAAATTTAAAGCTAAATATCAAGACTTAATAATTCTTATTTATTATTTTTTCAAGTTTTATTGATGATAACTTTCTTAAATTCAAGATAAACTATTCTGAAATATATTAAAATAATCTATTAGTTCTATTAATAATTTTTTAATATCAGAATGATATATTTTAGATATAATATAATAGAGTTTGTTATAAAATAATATTAATTATATCTTGATTTATTTAAAGTATATTAAAATTAAAATTTTTTATTTAATGAAGTTATAGTTACTATTTTTAAGATAATATTGATTAAGATAATTTTTACTTTTGATTTTTAAATTAATGATATATTAAAAGAATTTAAATAAAGAATTAAAATAAATTCTTTTAATAACTTAAATAAAAAAGATATTTATAATAAATAATATTCTATAAATAAATATAATATAGAATAAATATAATAAAATAAATAAATAAATATAATAAATTAATAATTCATAAAAGTTCTGAATTAATATATTTTTCAAAAAAATTATATAAAAGAAAATTTTCTAAATTGATAGATCTATAATATAGATTAATTTTCATATTTAATTTTTATATTATAATAATATTTAATTCTATAATTTGAATAATATTATTACTAATTTAGAAATTGATATATTTATGTATTATATCAGATAATTATTTAGTTATATAATATTTCTCAAATTAATTTATATATTATTATTATTATTATTTTCTAATTTATAATTAATTTTTATTTTTTATTTTTATTTTAATTTTTATAGCTAAACTATACTTAATTATTATTGATTTTATTATTAGTTTTTTTATGAGTTTCACTAAATTTATAAAGATAAAGATAAAAATTCATAATTAATAAATACTCTTTCTTTATCTTTAATATTATAAAATAAGTTTATTTTATCATCAGATCAAAAAGTGATATTTCTTATATTATTTTCTTTGAAGAATATTATTTTTCTATTTTTATTTTCTATTTTGCATTATTATTATTTAATAGTTATAAGAGTAAAAATCATAATTATATAGAAAATAGTAATATTAACTTTCTTTTTACTTTTTTTAAAATTCAAAATTTTGAGAATTTAAAAATATAAAAGAGAGCTATAATATTATATTATTATTTTTTTATTTTAATTTTAATTAGTATTTAGAGAATACTTATTATATTTTATTTATAATTATTAATAACTTTAATATTATTCTTATTTATTTTTTAGATTAAAGATAAGTTATTCTTATTTTTATTTTATTCTTAATTATCTGATTAATAATTAATAATTTAAATAATTTTATATTTTAAATATTAATTAATTTTAATATTTTTTAAAGTCAAATCATAACTATTAAAATTAAAATTATATATTATTTATAATATCAAATTTTTCAAATATTATAAAGAATAAGAAAGAAATTTTTCTTCTTTTAATTTAATATATTTTTAAAAAACAAGAATAATATAATTTCTTATTTTTATTCTAATATTATTCAAGATAAATAGTAAAGTAAGAAACTTTCTATTCTTTTTTATATTTAAAAATAAAACTACTTTTTTTTAAAAAGTAATTTATAATAAAAAAGTAATTTTTGCTTTATTTTTTTATAAGAATAATAAATTTTTTATCTTTATTAAATTATATTAATAATCTTAATATTATTATTCTAAGTAATTTTTAATTAAAATTATTTTTTTAATTTTTAAGTATTAATAGTAATATTACTGTAATAATATAAATTTCTTTAATTTAATAATCTTTCTTTAGTTATATAAAACTCTCTTTTTCTTTTACTTTATAATTTAT